CCCAAGTTGTGACATTCTAATAACTTTTACCTATTAAGTTTTATTCCTATACTTAAAAGTGAAAAAAAAACACAATGCAGTTGGACTGGCATTAAGAACTAGATATCCATTCCATAGACTAGTAAACCACTAGTTTCGGTTCTCAAGTATATACAAATATATGTTTCTGACATACTCGAAGCTGCAAACTCGCCTGCTGTATTTATTTATATCTACTTGATTATTAAACCACCATTCATTAAGTATGCTAATGTTCTAATTGCAGTTGATGAAAAATTAATGTAGGTACAAGAGCATATGACACTTCTTATCATGCCCCAAAACTGCTGGAGTGATCAGAAGAAATAAAATCAGAAATGAAACCATAAGAGAAAGAATTGGCATAGAACTAGTCCTAAACTACATCCAAAAAACAGCAAATAAAGTGGTTTGCTCATCTGGAGATAATGTCTTGTGATTCCATACTGTATAATATACAAAAACATACCATGCATATGCAAAAAGATGAGAATGTCAAAGAATATGAGGCAGACCCAGAAGAAGATGGAGAGACAACATCGAAGACACACCACAGCAGCAACAATTAACAATGGTTGATGCCAGAAGAGCAAGAGCCCGAACTATATATCTCCCTTGACACCTGAAGCAGTAAAAGAGAAGATCATGCCCCAAGTAATATCACTTTTTTATCTCCTAACATCTAATGATATTCTAAATCTGAGAATCATTCAGAGAACAGAAGTTTAGTTAATGTTTACATGTTGTCAAATAATAATACAACTATATAATAGGCATGCCAAAAGTCAGCAAATCATTTTTTTCAGCCTTGAATCAAATCAAATTATTTTTTTGAAGGACATAGCAAAATACTTAAAACTATGTAAAATGATGTATCACTATTAACTGTAGCAGTACATTATTGTTTTCAGATACTATTAATGTCCTGGATACTATTTCCTGTAGCAGAATTGCTGACTTTTTTTTTTTCATTTAAACCGTTGAGCCAAAAAAAAAAATCTCAATCACACTCTTAATATACTCTTAATATACTTTTTCTTTCAAGATCTGGAACAGCAAATATTAGTACAGCCGCAATGTTTCTCTTAGTGAGACATATATATTATTCTGCATAAACTATTTCTGATGGATGTCTGTGTCTGGTTGAAGATTTCCAGTGAGAGACTGGAATATATATGTACTGATTTAAAGGAAGCTTATCTCTGGTTACCTGAAACATACCATAACTACATTTCTTTAAATAATTTTAATCCCATTCATATCTTTTACATTCATTTGCTGATATCAATTTTCCTAAACACATCAGACATTTGTTGCTGAGAAGGAAGCACATCCCAAGGGCTCGGTGTAACAGCAATATATGTTTGGGTTTTTCTTTTCTTTTTAAAGTTGCTGGTTCAAAAACACGCAAAGCTGGCAGTGATTGAATACTGTTACCATCTGACAGCTGCTAACTAGCCAATATGAAATAAGTGAGTGTTTTCAGTCCTCGGGGAGCAGATGTCAGCTCTAGAATAACTTCTTCTAATACCACGAGAAATTCACTTAGCACAACAATAAAGGTATAGTCCAAACAAAGATGGAAGTAATCTCTTCTACCTGAGTCTCACTAATTTTCTAGATTTTAAAAGTTGTTAGCTAATGATATTGTTTACAAACTGCTTCCTAGTTAAGATCACCCATAAGAGAAAATACTATANTTCTTTATATGTTCTATCCTCGAGTCCCCTAATCATCTTTGTTGCTCTTTGCATTCTTTCTAGAGTCTCAACATTTTTTTTTACATCCTGGCGACCAAATGGCGACCAAAACTGGATGCAATATGTGCTTCTGTCACTTGATTTCCACTATACACATTGAAGCCAATGCTCTAATCATCCCAGATGCAAATACTAGGGACACCTTTAAGGTCTTCCTCATAATATGTGTATACATTGTTTGTGAAAGTTTCTGGACCAAGGTCATGTAGATGCCTTTTTATCTATGTCATAGATTAGTAAAATCATTTTGTCTTTTCTTAAGCCATGAGCTTTCCTCCAGCACCAGGTGTTTTGGACAGGTCTGAATGAATGTGCTGTGTGCTTCCTATTTCTGCAAGATTACTACGCCTGGTGATTTACTATGCCTCCTACTATTGCCCTTTCGGCAATGTGATTTTCCAACATTAAGCAAAACAAGAAATTAAATATTTTCTTGAGTTTCACTGTCCTACACTTTTCTGAATTTGCTGAGAACTATTTCCATTCAAATGCTATTGGCAGCTTTGTCTCATATTAGCTATATTATATGATTGGTTATGCCTTATCCCTTTTAAATGCAAGATTGAAAAGGGCCTAGAACCATGCAGCATATTTCCTGGCATCCACCCCAAGTTTGTAATTCAATATTTCTATTAATTGCAATGTTTTTTTTAGAGAGAAATGGTTTGAGATGAATCACATAAGCCTGCTCGTTCAGACCTGCCTATAGAGAGCAAATATCTAGCTTTGAAGAATTTTGCTCAATAATTAAGTATGAACAAGTATGTTTTTGATTCATTTGTTTAACTCTGTTCTCTTTCTCTAATTTTAGAACTTGTTGGAGAACAAATCATGGTTCAGATCATATATATGCAGAAATATTGAAAATTCAAAAGGGTTCACAAAATTTTAAGCATCACTTTATAAACTAGGTTGATATCATTCCCTGTGTTTCCGTCTTCAGGTGTTGAGGAGCACCCACTCAGAAAATGCTGAGCTTTAGGAAGCCTTAAAATTAAAATACTGTAGCACCAAGTCTTTAAAGATGAAAACATCTTAAGGAGGCAACCTGAAAAAGATATCCTAGGCTCAATTGTTCTATATACTACAGACCAATATAGTTAAAATGTTAGTAGCAGCAGTGACAGTTATAGTTTGCTTAGAAAGCATTTCTAAAGGAGAACTGAAAGCAGTAGTTTTCCACTAAGAGAAAATTATACCAGTTTTTAAAGACATATATGATTATACATAATAGATAAACAAGTCACCCTTTAACAATGCAAATTCTTCTTTTCCAGCTGTTTTCACTTATTTCTTAAGGGTAAGAAAAATGGAATTTGTACAATCATAGTTGTTTTATCTTTTATTCACTAATCAACCTAAAATTTTGTCAGTAAAAAACTTTTCCTGGTCCTAGTGCCAGTGAGGTCATTGAGTCAAAGAAACTTTACTGCTTTAAGTGAAATCAGATGGGCTGGATTCTTTTTTTGCTTCTTGTCCTCAACTAGCCCAGCTGTATACTTACTTCAGCCAACAGTATGACTACAAAGATGAAGTTATAGTAAACCAGATGTGATTCTTCACTTGGTTATCATAAGCAAAGATGTTTCAGAAGATGCATTTGAACTCTTAGAGGTTTTTAATTTGTAACAAAAATACAAAAATGGGACTCAGTATTGTGTGCAAACCAAAAACCCAAATTCTCCTCTTCCATATTTATAGTAAGTGTTTCTAGTTCTTTTTTTTTGTGGGGGCAAGGATTTGTTGTTTTCTCTTTGCAAATAGGCCCTAAAATTAGAGCTGCCATATTTGGGCTGCAAAAATGTAAACAACCACTAAGTTGTTGTAATGTAAGCAAAAAAAATAGTTTCAAGTATCATTTTGCTGCCATCTACTGGTAGTCTGGTTCTTTGCAGCCCACATATAGCACTTAGACTTATATACCGCTTCATAGTGTTTTTACAGTTCTTGGACATTGTCTTGTGGTTACAGGAAAATTTTATGAGGATACAGCAGGCAGTAACCAAACCACTTTTTCAACATTACTTGCAGAGTTGTCCATTGAACAAGAGAACAATAAGAGGATAATCCTAGCAATAACAATAGGACTTAAGAGTTATATACCACTTCATAGTGCTTTTACAGCCCTCTTTAAGCAGTTTACAGAATCAGCATATTGCTCACAACAATCTGTGTTCCTCATTTTACCCATCTCGGAAGGATGGAAGGCTGAGTCAACATTGAGCCAGTAAGATTTGAACTGCGAAACTGAAGCTAGCAGTCAGCTGAAGTAGCCTGTAGTACTGCACCCTTAACCACTTGCTCCACCTCCTCAGCTTTTCTAGGCAGCTATTATCCCTGGCTTTATGTAACTCTGTATTAGAACCAGCTGTAGAAATGTATTGGATTATCAGATTGCACAGAAACATTCTACTGAAGTTTTGGATAGGGTAAAGTAACTACTCAAGTTTTTCCCAACTATCTTGTTACTACTGCTTTATCTCAATGTGGCTAGACAGATGGCCAACAGACGTTCATTTTGAATATCAACATTCAAATCTAACTGCAGTGAAAAAACAGAGTAACTTATTCATTTTTGCAGATGTAGAGCGGAAATTTAAGGTGCAGTCTATTCTAGGCATGTGCTAATTTGCAGTAACCTGAAAATATTAGAAATCAACAGTTTATTATTTCTTTTTCAGTCCTTCACAATCTTTTTCATGGGTATTTTTGATATTTATTCTGAAACTTTCCAAAATATTATAAAATATTTGTTGTCTGTACAGTGCTACAATTTTTAACGTTTTAATTCTCTTGCATTATTAAATCTTTCAACACTTAAGTAATGGCTATGCTGCCCTTTGCAGGTACAATTATCTAAAGATAAATACCATAATATGGCAGGTTTCTGATTGGCCCAGTTTCTAAATAGACTGAATTCAATCTTACTAAATGGCTGCACTATAACAGACTTAAATGGGCAACTATCTTCTGAGGCTCCAAGGAGCAAAGGTGCTTCATTATATTACGGGCCCACATACAGTACTTAAGTTTAACAGCCAGAGTCACATCATTTTATTTCAATACTATTGAATGAATATTTCCCATTTTCCTACTGCAGGTTTAGATCTGTATTGAGAAACACCTTCCATTCACCTATTTTATTTAAAACAAAGGCAGCTCTATTACTGAAACATATGGGGCAGCCAAAACAACTGATGCGAAATCCTCTTTTATATTTAGGAGTGTTCTCCCTATGCTGCTCATCTGTATGATGCTGAAGACCCTTCTACTCCAGAGAGAACTGTTCCTGGACTATGCCAAGATTACTGCATACAAGTATGGCAAGATTGTAGATCAATGTTTCGTTACTTAACTCCTGATAAAGAGTTACTGGCCCTGGAAAATAACAGGGTTAAGTTTTGTCGTTATTTGTCCTTGGATGACACAGACTACTGTTTTCCTCACCTCTTAAGTAATGAGCGTCTTAATCAAGACCTTGGGTTAGTGACTGCAGATAAAGAAGGTTGTCTGCAGTTATGCTTAGTTGAAATTGCCAATGGGCTTAGGAATCCTGTTGCTATGGTACACGCAAGTGATGGAACTCACCGCTTCTTCATTGCCGAACAAATTGGTTTAGTCTGGACCTACCTTCCTGATCTGTCACGGCTTGAAAAACCATTTTTGAACATCAGCGAAGCAGTACTTACCTCACCATGGGAAGGGGATGAGAGAGGATTCCTAGGCATTGCCTTCCATCCTAAATTCAAATTTAATGGTAAGGTATATGTCTACTATTCAATTGAAGTTCAGTATGAAGAGAGAATCCGAATCAGTGAGTTCAGAATTTCTCCTGGTGACATGAATTCAGTGGACCATGGTTCTGAAAGGTATGCCCCTTTACATGTACAATGTATTTAAGACATTTAACGGCAAATATGTACAGTACTTCTAAGGATTGGCAATACTGCCTAAATTTAATATCTGCATGTTGCAGTCCAGTGCGTATGTATACTAATTATCTGTGCTACATATCAAGTATCAAGAATAAATATGTTTCTTAGGTGACTTTTGGAATTCATTTTATCTCTAATCTAAGTAGTGTATTATGATATCATTTATTGAAGAATATTTATTAGCCAGTCATTATTATAGTACAATCTTAGGCAATAAGATAAATATTGGGAAATGTAAAAAAAAAATCCCTCATGAAAATTTTATTTATTTGCTTCTTATTAAAGCACTAAAGATCCTTTCCCTGCTGAATCACATTTGCTACCATGTTTCCCTGAAAATAAGACAGGGTCTTATTTTCTTTTGACCCCTGAAATAAGCACTTGGCCTTATATTTGGGGAGGTCTTATTATTTTTGAGATGCAGGAGGCAGCGAGCGTAATCACCTCATGGCTGCTGCTGTGTTGCAATATTTTCAGGGAGGGCGTATTATCCAGGGAGGGCTTATTTTCAGGGAAACAGGGTATTAGTCCAGAAGATTTCCGCAAGTAACTTTATTACAACATGTAGTTTCGGTGCTTAAGGGAAATGAGGTCCAGGTTTTCTGAAAGTCACATATTTATGGAAGGCAGATCCAGATTATTTGTGGCAGAGACAACAAAATGTTGAATAAGTAAAATGCTCTATTTCACAAAGAAGAGAAAGACACAACAGAGTCTAGTAAATACTTCCCATGCTGATATTACTAATTGTTTGTCTGAACCATTGAGAATTCTGATAGTCAGAATAGATAATATAGTAGTGGATTAGATAGACCAGTAGTCTAATTCATTATAAAATGGTACAGGTTCAAAAAAATGCTGAGATGGAACAATAACTCAAGTACTACTCCAGATTGAATATTATGATAATATTATATTATCATTTGAAGTTCCCCAAAAGTATTACTGTATTGACTTCCATAAATTCTCTCAGTATTGTTCTGGTCCAGCTAGCTATTCCTTGGCAACAAGAACTGTATTATAACTATACTGACTGACAGAAATAAGCGGCACTTCTTAAGACATTGCTGAAGGGAGATTACACTCGCTACATAACCTGGAACAATCCAATAATTTTGTTTGTCAAAAGGCCCATCAACCAATTTACTGCCCCAAGTTAGCCATATGGACAAGTATCAACTTGCTTTCTTCATAACAAAAATTCCAAGCAACTAATCCAGGATTGGACAGTACACTTCAATAGAACATTTCAATCCAGGTTGTCTGTATATCCACATGGCAAATAGTCACTGTGTAGAATAGATGCTGTGCAGTTTATGTTCATGTTTTTAGCATTGAGCATATAGTCTTAGAAAATGCTTGAACCGGGGGGGGGGGACAGGCATTAAAATTAAGTGTAATCCTATATGTCTCTTCAGAAGTAAGTGACATTGATTCCAATCAGAATTACTTCCAATTAACTATATGCAAATGATAGATATGTATGTATTTAGTATAAAATCTGAAGTGTTTCATTGTTCTCTAAAATATTACTTGGTACATGTGGAATATATAGCATTTCCCATCACAATTTTTAAATCTTCTTAGTGAAAATTATATATCTTCGCCAGAATCGTATTTGAACTCTTCCATAATCTGCTTTTGAAAGGCATTGAAGAGCAGGCCACCAGACAAGGTGTTTTATTATCCTGCCATGTGATATTGAAGTGTTTTTAATGAACTTCCCTATATTATTATTATACAATTGTATCACAGCGGCCAGTTGTTTCGCCGGATTTGGCATTGGTTACTAGTCGGGCCCCACCCAGGGGCCTAGGACTATTATTATTATTATTATTATTATTATTATTATTATTATTATTATTAGTAGTAGTAGTAGTAGTAGTAGTAGTAGTAGTAGTAGTAGTATAGGAGTATTATAGGAGTAGTATTATTATATTATTAGTAGTAGTATTATAGTAGTAGTATATTATTATTATTATTATTATTATTATTATTAGTAGTAGTAGTAGTAGTAGTAGTAGTAGTAGTAGTAGTATGCCTTCTACATTCTGATTGTTTGTTTTTAATGAGAAGCCACTTTGAGACTTTATAATTTGGTAGCCACATATAAGCCAAAAAATATGTTTAACAAAGCCATTTCAGAAAACCTATTACATCCACTTTANTATTAACCTTGAGGAATTCTGGGGCTAAACAATTTGGTCATACAAGGCAGGGGTGGATTCCAGATTACTGCTCAGAGATGCGTTTCAGGTGCACGCGCATATGCGCAGTATGTAAAAATGCTTCTATGCATGTGCAGAAGCAAAAAACAACATGGCGGCCCCTACGGTGATGCTGATAGAACCAGTTCGGGGGCGTGGCCGACTGAGTTACTACCTACTCAGCCGAACCAGTCCAAACCAGTAGGAACCCACCTCTGATGCAAGGAAATTAATATTCTGATTAATTAAAAAAAGTGAATCTTTTTGCTTTTTAGAAAATGAGCTGATTGACTACAAGGTAGATTGGACATGCAGTACAAAAATTGAAAGAGAGTTTCATTAAAGCCAGGTTGGCATAGGCAGTTTATTACCATGGGCAACTCCAGTTTGTTGTCATGATTTTTTTTTTAATCTTTAAAGGGTCTACTTTTGGTAGTCCAGAGAACAGGATACCCCTTCATATTGCACTGAAAACAGAATTGACATTGTGGTAAGGGACAGAAGGGCAATTCTGTGTTCAAGTATCCAGCCCCTCCCAAGTTTTAATAATTAAGACAGCAGAAATAGGGTCAATCTTGCTCTGTAAAAGCACTCATTTTCTTCGCCCCAGCCAACTAGCCCTCTCAATCTGAAATAATTTACAGACCAGTTTCATTTGCTTTTCATCTGGTTATGAAAGACAGCAATCCTTAATCTGTTAGCAGCTTCTCCATTGCCATCAGCAGTTCAGATAATATTGTTTGGAGGACCTGTTAAAAATATTTGTCTGTGTTATTCTTTGCTAGAACTGATAGTGAAAATGCCATCACAGAATCCTAAGATAAAAGCCACAACCAGAGTCCCAGCAAGGAGTAAAGTAACTACAGAATCTTCACAAGCCACAACTCCAGACTGGATGGAACAACTCTTGACTCTGCTTAGGAATCAGAACGGATGGCAGATGACTACTATAGCACCAAAACCCAAACCTTCAAAGCCCAGGAAAGGAGGAAGGCCTGGGAGGAGACCATATCGAAGGAGGAAGAATAGGCCTTCCAGTGTTTCCCGACAACCACAGAATGGTGCAGTCCGACTCATGAATGGCAGCACAAGAGGGAGAGACCAAGGAAGGGTTGAAATTTTCATCAATGGGGAGTGGGGCACTGTGTGTGATGATTTGTGGACTTCTAAAGCAGCTGCAGTAGTTTGTCGCCAGTTGGGTTATGCTTTTGTAATCCGGGCCACCAAGAAAGCAGAGTTTGGGGAGGGACATTCACTTTCGATTTTACTTGATGATGTTCAGTGCATAGGACATGAGAAGACCCTGCTGGAATGTTCCCATTCAGAGATCAGAAAGCACAATTGTTCCCACAAAGAGGATGCAGGAGTGATATGCAGTCATGAAGAAGTTTTTGAGTAGAAACACCTGTAACATAGCATGAGGTTGTGCTGTGACTTTAAAAAAAACAAAAAACAAGACCACACAAATACACTGTTAAGGTTATCAGATTAGCATATGGTTTTGGAAAGATACATGTCCATAGGGCAGACTGGGATGGTAAGGCTTCAGTATGCCCATGTGATACCCCTGCTTCACAAGCTGCAGTGGTTAACAGTATGGTTATCCAGATGTTAAAACTTATTGGGAATTTTTATTCACCTATCAAGTCCTTCCCAAGGGCTTGACATAGGCAGGTTCGGGTGATTGATGATGTTAAAATAGCTTCCACAGGATGTAAGCTATTAGCTGTCTTTTGCAATTGACCAATGGTGATTTGGTCAATGGTGTTCAGATGATGGTCCAGTGGTTTTGGAAAATTGTTTTAGGATTGCACCCAAGGCACCTATTTATTGGTGCTGTCTTTGTTCTCTTTTGCCACAATTATTCGATTTCTGTTTGCAGGTCCTTGTATATTGTTATCTTCTCTATTTCTTTCTCTTCTACTTTGCTGCTTCCACATCCTGTCACATCCACTATCCAGATTTTTTTTTGTCTTTCTTCTTAACAATTGTGAAGTCTGGGGTTTAGCAGGTTCCTGTAGGCTTGAATTTGAATTTTAAACTCCCAGAGCAATTTCACTTCTTCATTTCCGATTATTTCCTCTACTTTATGATCCCACCCAGTTCCTTCTTGCAGGAAAATGATATTTTTTTTCAGGCCCTTCCAATCCACCAGTATGCTCAGTGTGCTACCAGGTGCAATTGAAGATCCTGATTATCACTCATAAAACTCTCTATGGCATAGTATTTGATTATCAGAGGGAATGTCTCATGCTGCTTGCCTATCCAGTACAAGCCAATAGGTCAGTGCTCTCTGAGTCCTATTAAACAGTCATCTACCAGCACCCAAGAAGCATGCCTTCTGGTCATGGTACCTGCTATCTGATATGGTCCTCCCTGATATTATATGGCCCCTATCTTGATGGGATTCAAGAAAGCCTAAAAATCTGGCATTCTCCCAGTTTATGGGATAATGTGGTTGGGACTCTCTGCAAATTTTGTTTGGGAATCTGGATGTGGAGTTTGTTTGCCAGACTTATCAACCATTCTAATTCTCCATATTGCTCAGTTGGGTGGTAACTAAAGTGAATAAATTAAATTAAAGGGATATATTATAGTAAATACTATATAGAGAGAGCAAGTAATTGCTTGCCATTTGAAAGTGGAACACAAACTAAATAATATTATATGATTCCTTCTGTAAATAAGAAAATATATTGTGCTGAATGTTTTGAATTAAATTACGCACCAGATGTCTATGGAGATTCTCAATCATCCAGGTCATGGTTGTCCCAAAGGTGTTTTTTTCAAGAGGCAACTGGGCCTTCTTGTTTTTCTTTTAAGACATTTTGCTTCTCATCCAAGAAGCTTCTTCAGCTCTGACTAGATGGTGGGGAATTTGCCCCTTGATGACCTTGAAGACACTGATAAACCTCCAGATGGCCTTAAGGACTAGCCAAAATAATGCAAATGATTAGCTGTCTCGAAGGAGTATCCATTCCCCACCATCCAGTCAGAGCTGAAAAAGCTTCTTGGATAAGAAGTGAAACGTCTTCAATGAAAAACAAACAAAAAAGTCCAGTTCCCTCTTGAAAAAAGCACCTTTGGGTTAAACACCAGATATTTATCTTCTGTTTTCA